CTATTTGCAATGGCGAGCCCTTGCTCTTGCGTGCTTGCTTGCTTGCTCTTGCGTTCCTTGCACTTGCTTGCTTGACCTCGCGTGCTTGCTCTCGCTTGCTTGCTCTTGCTTGCCCCTGCTTGCTTGCACTTGATCGCTGGCTCTTGCTTGCTTGTTATTGCTCGCTTGTGCTTGCTTGCTTCCGCTTGCTTGCTTCCGCTTGCTTGCTTGCGCTTGCTTGATTTTGCTCCTCTCGTCCTCCTGTCCTGCTCCCGTCCTCCTTTCGTCCTCCTCCCATCCTCCTCTCGTCCTCCTCCTGTCCTCCTACCTATTTGGGGTCAACGCTGGCTGATATGAGGATGAAGATGATGATGATGATGATGATGATGATGATGATGATGATGATGATTACGATGCGGCTGCTGGCGGTGATGGTGGTGGTGGTAGTGTGATGATGGTGACGATGATGATGAGGCGGAGGAGGAGGAGGAGGAGGAGCAGGATCAGGAGGAGGAGGAGGAGGAAAGGAGAGCTGAGATGAGAAGGATGATGATGAGGAAGAGGAGGAGGGTTATGAGGGGGAGGAGGAGAAGGAGGAGAAGGAGGAGGAGGAGGAGGACGAGGAGGAGGAGGAGGAAGAGGAGGAGGACGAGGAGGAGGAGCACGAGGGGGAGGAGGAAGAGGAGGAGGAGGAGGAGGAGGAGGAGGAGGAGGAGAGGAGGAGGAGGAGGAGGAGGAGGAGAGGAAGGAAGAGGAGGAGGAGGAGAAGGAGGAGGAGGAGGAGGAGGAGGAAAAGGGCGTTGTGGATTGGGAGCGGAAGAGGAGGGGGCGTTGGGATGGGCTTTGGAAGCCGGAGGGGAGGAGGAGGGATATCAAGAAAGGGAGGAGCAGGAGTGAGGCGGGGGTGAGGATAGGGTGGGCGTGAGCCCATGAAGGTCGGCAGTGGATTGTCACATGTGGGCGTTACTCTTGCCATGGTGCAGTGGGCCCACAGGTTTTGAAACTGCAGCACTACAATGAACATCCTGCTAATCCGTCCCCTCCTTCTGAATCCTCAACTCCCAGGGATGGCTGACTCTGGGACGCAGCCTGATGCTGGTCCTGCCGCTTTTCCCCCAAAGAGGGCAGACGTCTGCTGGATGCGAGTCGCGGTCACACCCCTCCTTCTCTCCCTCCTTCTCCTCCTCCGCCTGCCTTCCTCCTCCGCCTCCTCCTCCTCCTTTTCCGCCGCCTCCTCCTCCTCCTCCTCCCCCTCCTCCTCCTACTACTCCTATCGTTATGCCTTATTAGAGTATACTCCTACTCCCCCCCTCTCCCCGGCCGACAGCCGCCCCATCTGGGACGTCCCATCCTAACCGGCAAAAAGCAATACACAATCAACATGTTTCGTCGTTTTTCCTCTCAACATGGACGTCCTGTCGTCCACGTCGATAATCCCCTGCAGAAAATACCATACAGTACACGCGCGCGTTCATGCCAAAATCCTACCAACCACACGGAGTTTGCAAGCATTTCAGCATAAAAAACCTTAGCAACAACCCACTGGTTGTTCATCACCAGTCTTCAGAATTCCTGCCCGCGCGCAGTTGCTGAAATCAAAGGAAAACCATACGATTCCCATGACTCCGTGAAAGAGTTAGCGATCTCTTCACGCCGCGCGGTGCACTCGCGATGCTGTGTCATGCACCCAGGGCGCGTATCGTATGCAACAAATACCACGCGGGCGACATGCGCGCGCGCGTCGCCGCGAGCGCATGTCCAAATCCTTCCAGACTCGTCGCCGTCATCGGCACCGTCGTTGGCCTTGCCGTCGTTGTCGCCGTCATCGCAGGTCACCGCCCTCCTCACTATGTCGCCACCGTGGTCGACGTCATCATGCCATCGCGCCCGCACGAGTCACCGACCTGCACCGAGGTGCCCGCGCGCTGGCGCGGCCTTCGAGACGCGTTGGGCCAGTTCCCATCGGCCACCGCACTCGTGACCGCAGGAATCTGCCATGCCAGCTGGCCGATCTGTGCGTGCGATGCGTTCTGCCAGCCAAGTTTCCTGCGGCTTCCTGGGGCTTCCTGGACCTCCTGAGGCTTCCTGGAGGGGCTCCTGGCGTCTCCTGGGCCTTCCTGGGGCCTCCTGGGGACGGGCGGGCCTCCTGGGGCTCCCTGGGGTGTCCTGAAACATCCTGGGGCTTCCTGGGGCCCTCTTGAAGCTTCCTGGGTCCTCTTGGGGCATCCTCGACTCGTGCTGAAATGCCTGCGCAGCCTTTGAGACGAGCTGGGGAATTCCCATCGGTAATCGCTGTCGCGGCCACATCAGCTGTGCCAAACCAGCTCGCCGACGTGATCTCGGCTCCCGGTTGTGCCAGCACTGTTTCTTATGTTGTGGGAGGGCGGGTGGGCATGGGCATGCCATGCATGTCTCGCTCGAGCTGACTAACTTGACTCCTCCTTCTCCTCCTCCTCCTCCTCCTCCTCCTCCTCCTCCTCCTCCTCCGTCGTCAGTTCGACAACAGAAACCGAACATCTTTCCAATGACGGGTGATGCTGGGCCAGATTGGTGCTTGGGGCCAGGGCATCGGCGGGCGTGGGCTGGAGCGCCTTGGGCCCTCTTTGGGAGCCTCTTTCGCTCCTGGGGCCCTCCCGAGCCATGCTAAGCGCTGCCCTGGGGTCCTCATCCGGCACCCGTGGGCCCGATAGCCATTTTGGCCATCAATCGTGGACCATCTGGGGTGCTTACCAGGGCCCTGGGCCAGGGGGCCGTAGGGATGCCCAGAGGACCCCCTTGGGGCACCCTCGCGTCCCCAGGGGATCGAACACGGCGCCAGAGTGGCTGGGGTGCACTCCGGGCCAGGATCACTTCTCTGCAACCTCTGATCGGGGCTCTCGGGGGCACTTCCCGCTCGCTGGGCCCAGAGGTCCCGACGGGATCAGACATGGCGTTGCTGAGCTGGGGGTGGGGGGGGGGGGCATCCTGGAGCCAGGAGCACTTCTGGCTACCTCCACGTGGCGCTCCGTGGGGGCTTCCTGGACGCCTCGGGGCGCCCTCGTGGGGCTCTTCGTGCGGCCAGTGGGGCCCGAGCGGAGCCCAATGTCGGCTTCTCTCGAGCCACGCGGGAGCAGCCTCGGGGCCGGCTCGGGCCATCTTGGGGACAAGCCAGCATCACATCATTACACTGTGATCTGCTGTTTGATGACTCCAGGCTCTCATCTCGAGGGCCTTCGGATGTCCCGGGCCCCACTCAGGCCTATCTGTGGACCAGCTCGGAGCCTCCCGGGACTTTCGATGAGGCCGACTGGGACCATCGTGGAAGCTATCTGACGATCTCTTGGGCCACCGCGGACCACCTTGAGGCCAAAGATGGCGTCTGGGGGATGGCGCTCGTTGCCCCGCCCCTCAAACGAAAGTTTGAACTCCGGCGGGGTGGGATTAAGGGTTGGTGGTGGGGAACAGCGCAGCATGTCAAACGCCTTCTTATCTTCGGCAAGCTTTCGGCGAGCTGGGATCGTCGGATGCCCCCGCATCCGCAGTCTCCGAGTCAATGGCAGCAGCCTGCCCAGGGGATGGGAATGCCAGGGCAGCAGCCGGTGGCACCCAACCCAGGAACAGGGCTAGTGGTAGGTGCTACCGTTACTGTACTGAGTCCGTCAGGAATGCAGCGGACGTGCGTTGTGGTTCAGGAGGACGCGTACAGGGTGAAGATTCACTACGAAGGCTTTGACAGTTCCAGGGACGAGTGGCTTCCTAGGACCTCCAACCGTATTGTGTCCAGCCAGCCGCAAGCACAGACCCAGAGCCAGGCTGTGCCTTCTCAATCACAATCGCTATCAGGACACGTGGTGGGGATGCCAGGGCAGCAGCTGGCAGCTCAGCCCGCGGGACCTGAGTTCCTAGTGGGCTCCAAGGTCACCGTGTTGAGCCCGTCGGGGATGCGGCGAGATTGCACGGTAGTCCAGGTGGACATGAATAGGGTGCGGGTCCACTACGAGGGTTTCGACAGCTCCCGCGACGAGTGGCTGCCAAAAGACTCCAACCGCATCGTTTCAGACCAGTCGATGCAGCCTCAAGGTCAGGCTGCACCTTCGCCTCCGCAATCGCCGCAGCCGATGCAGCAGCCGGTCCAAGGGTTGGGGGCGCCCGGGCAGCAGCTGGCAGCACAGCCCACAGGACCTGAGTTCCTGGTGGGGTCCAAGATCACCGTGCTGAGCCCGTCGGGAATGCGGCGGGAGTGTACGGTGGTGCAGGTGGACATGACTAGGGTGCTGGTCCACTACGAGGGTTTCGACAGCTCCCGCGACGAGTGGCTGCCGAAGGACTCCAACCGCATCGTTGCCAATCAACAGCAGCAAGTGCAGAATCAGGGACAGGCTGTACCTTCGCCTCCGCAGTCACCACATTCGATGCAGCAGCCGGGACAAGGGGTGGGGATGCCAGGGCAGCAGCTGGCAGCACAGCCCGCGGGACCTGAGTTCCTAGTGGGCTCCAAGGTCACAGTTCTGAGCCCGTCGGGGATGCGGCGGGAGTGTACTGTAGTCCAGGTGGACATGAACAGGGTGCGGGTCCACTACGAGGGTTTCGACAGCTCCCGCGACGAGTGGCTGCCGAAGGACTCCAACCGCATCGTTGCCAATCAACAGCAACAAGTGCAGAATCAGGGACAGGCTGTACCTTCGCCTCCGCAGTCACCACATTCGATGCAGCAGCCGGGACAAGGGGTGGGGATGCCAGGGCAGCAGCTGGCAGCACAGCCCGCGGGACCTGAGTTCTTGGTGGGCTCCAAGGTCACAGTTCTGAGCCCATCGGGGATGCGGCGAGATTGCACGGTGGTCCAGGTGGACATGCATAGGGTGCGGGTCCACTACGAGGGTTTCGACAGTTCCCGCGACGAGTGGCTGCCGAAGGACTCCAATCGCATCGTTTCAGACCAGCAGTCGATGCCGCCTCAAGGCCAGGCTGCACCTTCGCCTCCGCAATCGCTGCAGCCGATGCAGCAGCCGGGACAAGGGGTGGGGGCGCCCGGGCAGCAGCTGGCAGCACAGCCCGCAGGACCTGAGTTCCTGGTGGGCTCCAGGATCACCGTGCTGAGCCCGTCGGGGATGCGGCGGGAGTGTACGGTGGTGCAGGTGGACATGAACAGTGTGAGGGTCCACTACGAGGGTTTCGACAGCTCCCGCGACGAGTGGCTGCCGAAGGACTCCAACCGCATCGTTGCCAATCAACAGCAACAAGTGCAGAATCAGGGACAGGCTGTACCTTCGCCTCCGCAGTCACCACATTCGATGCAGCAGCCGGGACAAGGGGTGGGGATGCCAGGGCAGCAGCTGGCAGCACAGCCCGCGGGACCTGAGTTCCTGGTGGGCTCCAAGATCACCGTGCTGAGCCCGTCGGGGATGCGGCGGGAGTGTACTGTAGTCCAGGTGGACATGAATAGGGTGCGGGTCCACTACGAGGGTTTCGACAGCTCCCGCGACGAGTGGCTGCCGAAGGACTCCAACCGCATCGTTGCCAATCAACAGCAACAAGTGCAGAATCAGGGACAGGCTGTACCTTCGCCTCCGCAGTCACCACATTCGATGCAGCAGCCGGGACAAGGGGTGGGGATGCCAGGGCAGCAGCTGGCAGCACAGCCCGCGGGACCTGAGTTCCTAGTGGGCTCCAAGGTCACAGTTCTGAGCCCGTCGGGGATGCGGCGGGAGTGTACTGTAGTCCAGGTGGACATGAATAGGGTGCGGGTCCACTACGAGGGTTTCGACAGCTCCCGCGACGAGTGGCTGCCGAAGGACTCCAACCGCATCGTTTCAGACCAGCAGTCGATGCAGCCTCAAGGCCAGGCTGCACCTTCGCCTCCGCAATCGCTGCAGCCGATGCAGCAGCCGGGACAAGGGGTGGGGGCGCCCGGGCAGCAGCTGGCAGCACAGCCGACAGGACCTGAGTTCCTGGTGGGCTCCAGGATCACCGTGCTGAGCCCGTCGGGGATGCGGCGGGAGTGTACGGTGGTGCAGGTGGACATGAACAGTGTGAGGGTCCACTACGAGGGTTTCGACAGCTCCCGCGACGAGTGGCTGCCGAAGGACTCCAACCGCATCGTTGCCAATCAACAGCAACAAGTGCAGAATCAGGGACAGGCTGTACCTTCGCCTCCGCAGTCACCACATTCGATGCAGCAGCCGGGACAAGGGGTGGGGATGCCAGGGCAGCAGCTGGCAGCACAGCCCGCGGGACCTGAATTCCTGGTGGGCTCCAAGATCACCGTGCTGAGCCCGTCGGGGATGCGGCGGGAGTGTACTGTAGTCCAGGTGGACATGAATAGGGTGCGGGTCCACTACGAGGGTTTCGACAGCTCCCGCGACGAGTGGCTGCCGAAGGACTCCAACCGTATCGTTGCCAATCAACAGCAACAAGTGCAGAATCAGGGACAGGCTGTACCTTCGCCTCCGCAGTCACCACATTCGATGCAGCAGCCGGGACAAGGGGTGGGGATGCCAGGGCAGCAGCTGGCAGCACAGCCCGCTGGACCTGAGTTCCTGGTGGGCTCCAAGATCACCGTGCTGAGCCCGTCGGGGATGCGGCGAGAGTGCACGGTGGTCCAGGTGGACATGCATAGTGTGAGGATCCATTACGAGGGTTTCGACAGCTCCCGCGACGAGTGGCTGCCGAAAGACTCCAACCGCATCGTTGTCAACCAGCAGTCAACGCAGCCTCAAGGCCAGGCTGTGCATTCGCCACCGCAATCGCCGCAGCCGATGCAGCAGCCGGGACACGGGTTGGGAACGTCTGGGCAGCAGCTGACAGCACAGTTTCCTAAACCTGAGTTCTTGCCAGGCTCGAAGATCACCGTGCTGAGTCCATCGGGGATGCGGCGAGATTGCACGGTTGTCCAGGTCGACCTAGACAGGGTGAAGATCCATTACGAGGGTTTCGACAGCTCCCGCGACGAGTGGCTGCCGAAGGACTCCAACCGCATCGTTGCCAATCAACAGCAACAAGTGCAGAATCAGGGACAGGCTGTGTCTTCGCCCCCGCAATCGCCACAGCCGATGCAGCAGCCTGGCCAAGGGGTAGGGATGCCAGGGCAGCAGCTGGCAGCGCAGCTGAAACCTGCTTACCTGGTGGGCTCCAAGATCACAGTTTTAAGCCCGTCGGGGATGCGGCGGGAGTGCACGGTCGTGCAGGTGGATATGAACAGGCTGAGGGTCCACTACGAGGGTTTCGACAGCTCCCGCGACGAGTGGCTGCCGGAGGACTCCCACCGCATCGTTGCCAACCAGCAGCAAGCACCACAGAACCAGGGCCAGGCTGGGGCGGCTCACCCGCCATCGCCACAGCCGATGCAGCAGCCAGGACAAGGAGTGGGGATGCCAGGGCAGCAGCTGGCAGCGCAGCCCGCAGGACCTGAGTTCCTGGTGGGGTCCAAGATCACCGTGCTCAGTCCATCCGGGATGCGGCGAGAGTGTACCGTGGTGCAGGTTGACATGAATAGGGTGATGGTCCACTACGAGGGTTTCGACAGCTCCCGCGACGAGTGGCTGCCGAAAAACTCCAACCGCATCGTTGCCAATCAACAGCAACAAATGCAGAATCAGGGACAGGCTGTGCATTCGTCTCCGCAGTCACCACATTCGATGCAGCAGCCAGGACAAGGGGTGGGGATGCCAGGGCAGCAGCTGGCAGCACAGCCCGCGGGACCTGAGTTCCTGGTGGGCTCCAAGATCACTGTGCTGAGTCCGTCGGGAGTGCGGCGGGAGTGCACGGTGGTTCAGGTGGACATGAGCAGGGTGATGGTCCACTACGAGGGTTTCGACAGCTCCCGAGACGAGTGGCTGCCGAAGGGCTCCAATCGGATTGTGTTCAACCCGGAGCAAGCACCACAGAACCTGCAATCGCCACAGTCGATGCAGCAGCCAGGAGAAGGGGCAGGACTGCCAGGGCAGCAGCTGGCAGCACAGCCCGCGGGACCTGAATTCCTGGTGGGCTCCAGGATCACTGTGCTGAGCCCGTCGGGAGTGCGGCGGGAGTGCACGGTGGTTCAGGTGGACATGAACAGGGTGAGGGTTCACTACGAGGGTTTCGACAGCTCCCGCGACGAGTGGCTGCCGAAGGGCTCCAACCGCATCGTTGCCAGCAGCCAGGCGTCGCAGCCGATGCAGCAGCTGGTTCCTCAGGTCTCGTGGGCTCAACAGTCAAGGTAGGGGCTGAGGCGTGCACCAGCAGGGATACTGTGTGGAGTGGCAGCGGGAGCAGCGTGGAGGGTGAGGATGAGCAGCAGCAGTGGGCCAGGAGGGGAGGAGGAGGAGGAGGAGGAGGAGGAGGAGGAGGAGGAGGAGGAGGAGGAGGAAGCGAAGAAGGAGGAGGAGGAGGAGGCGGAGGAGGAGGAATAATGATGATGATGAGGAGGAGGAGGAGGCGGAGGAGGAGGAGGAATAATGATGATGATGATGATGATGATGATGATGATGATGATGATGATGATGATGATGATGATGATGATGATGATGATGATGATGATGATAGCTCGATGGTCCTGACGGACTACTCTGCCGCCTTCCCCTCTCTCTCGATTGAATGGTTCTTGGCCGTTTTGGAGGCGATGGGGATCCCGAGTTTTATCGTCCAGTTTTATCGGTTGTTCTACACTGACAACACTGCTCTGATCTCGGTCCTGGGCAAAATGTACGCGTCGATTGATATATCTAGAAGTGTGCGTCAAGGGGATCCCGCATCTATGGTTCTCTTCTGCTTGGGCACGGCTCCGCTTCAGGTATATATAAGTAAATGCTGCTGGCAGTGTATGCACCTCAAGCTGGAATATGCTGATGACTGTTTGTATGGCATTCGTGACACCCTTCGACACCTGTGGCACCTATTCCGTGTTATCATGGCATTGGAGTCGGCAGTGGGGCTGGCGTTGAACCTACGCAAGTGTCTTGTGCTGGTCCAGTCGACTGTGTTCCAGGCTAGGCTGCAGCAGTACATCCTAGAGCAGTGCCCTGAGCTGTCTCAGATTCAAGTTGTGCGCTCGTGTAAGTACCTGGGCATGATGATTGGTGTCTCTGCCCACGAATGCTACTGGTCGAAACCGGTGGCGAAGTTCGCTCCGCGGGTGAGAGAGGTGCGTCAGGCTGGTCTAACTCTTGCGAAGAACATCCCGACTTTCAACACTCTATGTCTTAGCATACTATCCTTTGTCATGCAGTTTGCACCTCTCTCTAGGCCGGTGATTGCAGCGTACAAGAATGCCTTGCAGCTCTTAGTGGTGGGGCCGCGCTTTAGTTTCAACTACGAGATGCTGACGAATATGACTTCTCTGGGGTTCCCTGGTCAGTTCAAAAACTTGGAGGCGGTGTCTCGGGCTACGAAGTTCCGACTGGTCTCGAAGTGCTCGGAGATTCTTGAGATTCTTGAGGATCTGGAAAAGACTTTTGCTTCCGATGATGCATGTATTATCAGAACTATGTCTGGTTGGGCCAGTTTTAGCTTCGCTCCTGCTCTGCTTGCGACATTCAGAAGTGTTCGTGGTACTTTGTCCTGCTCGCCCTCGGGAATACCTGTCGAGGGCAAGAGCTTCCAGGCAGCTGTCTACCGCTTGATTGCTGCATCGCCTGAATTTGCTCATGATGCGAAGCAGGATTTGATGATCAGGATGAGGAGGTGGTTGAATGAGGTTCCCGAGGATGCCGCGACACAAATTTCGAAAGCTGTGAAGTTTGTTGTCAAGAAGACTGGGCCCTACATGGGCCTGACGTTTCTCCGTGTGCTTGCTCGAGGTTTGAACACGTCGGCCAGATTTCACACCCAGTCGCATGGTTGCCTGTTTGGATGCTGTTCTGATTCCTTCGACCCTACCCTCTCTGACCTTGATGATATTGCCCATTATGCGAGATGCTCCCGATTCTATTGGATTTGTGAACATTGGCTCGGAGAACTGATGCCCCCCTTCTCGGAATCCCCTCCTTGGCTGTCTGCTCTGCTTCCCACGTCTCTGCGACCTCGCACGGTGCTACTCATATCGGCTGCTATAATTGACGCGTTTATGTTTGCTCACAACTGTCGTCGTCACCTTGTCTCTTCTGGCAGTGTGTCTCAGCAGATACATGCCCGCATGCGGGCCACGGCGCGCAGGCATAGGCCTGTTGCTGAAGCCTGGCGTGTTGAGAGACGGGTGCGTTTGCTTTTCGAGGCCCCCCCTGGAGCCTAGTCTGAGCATCTCTCAGTGTCTGGGGTGGGGCCCTGGACTCGTCTCTGCTGGTGATGTGGGCGTTCGATAGTGCCTTCTTCTTTCCAGAGGCCTGGTGCGACTCCCGCGCCTGGGCTCCGACAGAGGGCGTGGGGGGGGCCCCGCGTGGGGGAACGCGGCTGTCTCGTGCCCTGCCTGCCGTTCGGCAGGCAGACGCTCCTCACGGACAGTGGCCCCCCCCCTCGCCACGATATCCGTGGACTGCTCGACCAAGGTGTCGACCGCCTTCAACTGGGACCCCCTGGAGCCTCCTGAGCCCCTTGGGTCCAAAAAAATGATGATGATGATGATGATGATGATGATGATGATGATGATGATGATGATGATGATGATGATGATGATGATGATGATGATGATGATGCTGATGATGATGGTGATCATGATGATGATGATGATGATGATGATAATGATGATGATGATGATTATGATGATGATGATGATGAGGAGGAGGAGGAGGAGGAGGAGGAGGAGGAGGAGGAGGAGGGGTTGACGGCCAAGTTTCACGTGGCGACGGGAGATGATGAGATGCAGAAGGGTTCGTTCGACAGGCCCCGCCACCCCCTCTGTGCTTGGAGTACGCCTCTGCTTGCACTCAGCTCGCTCGGCCGCTGTCGCCTCGTCGTCGAGTTGAGCGATGTTCGATTCCTGTTGGGTCACGGATGCCCCCATCAACAAGACCACCCGCAGGGATGCGACGCTACACGCAGGTCGTTGAAAGTAGGTATTTCTGGATTCCCGGATCCCAATCTACATCAAGCGCTTGCCTACTTCAAGAATCGATATGCTCTTGCCGTGTTTTGTTATGTACTTCATGCTATTACCTACTTCTTCCGACCGACGGGTGCTTCGGTCGGTCGCATCTGCAAGCACGGTCACGTGCACGAGAGGAGGCCCTGCCAGCCGCCTCCCCGCGAGCTTCGTCGAGTCTCGTATGGTCTCTCGCAGGGTGCTGCCGCATCGCCGCGCCGGGTCGTGTCCCGTGCTCGGCGAGCGCACGCACGGATCCCCTCAACAGCCTGTCTGCATGGTGTCGACGTGCGGCTCGTGGGCGCGGCCGGGGGGGCCGTTGCCGGCCCAGGCATCGGTGATTTGACGTGCTCTTCGTGTGGTCTCCCGTGGGGTCTCCTGCGTGCGTGGTGCCCCGTGTGGCTTCGGGCCATGTCTCCCGCACGGTCTCCCGTGTGGTCTCCCGAAGGGGTCCCCCGCATGGCCTCCCGTGCGGTCTCCCACGTGGTCTCCCGTATTGCCTCCCGCGTGATCTTCCGCATGCTCGCCCGTCTGGTCTCCCGTATGATCTCCCGCGTGCTCCCCCTTTCTTGTCTCCCGGATGGTCTCCCGCATGTGCAGTGCCGTCGAATGTTCTCTTTACTTTTTGGTTGTGCTGTTTAGGCCTCTGCAGCCAGGGCGTACCGGCTTGCATCTGCTGTGTGTCAAAAGCATGATACGCAAGCTTGTCCGCACTACCACCATCACTGGTCGTTTCGGAGACCCCCGGGCTCGAGGCGTTTGCGTGGGCCCACCAGCCAGTGGGCTGGGCGACTGGGCTCCCAGCTTCTAAGTCGGGCGCGCGGTGCTCTATCCAGGGCCCCAGCCTACCCGAGTGCCCGAAGGACTTCGTTCTGGCCACGAGACCCCCGCCACCCCCTCGTGCCCCGCCGGTAAGCTCCCTTGCGCGCGGATCGCACGGCCTGTGTCACAGCGCCCGCGCTCACAGGGTTGTGCCTCGCTCTGGAGCACAAGGGTTTGCTCGGGGGTGTGTAGACATGGGGTATCCCCAGCTGGATGCTAACATGCTCTTATTCCCGAGACCTTTTGGAGCCCCCTACCCATCTGTACGTACCCCCGATGTGCGGCCCGCCTCACCTCAGGCCCCGGCAGTGTCCCTCGCCGTGGGCACGAAGATTGTGGTCTTCGATCCGTCCAACACACGGCGGGAGTGCTTCATCGTCGAGGCGGCAGCGGACAAGGTCGGGCCTTTGGTGCAGCGCCTGCGTCCTGCGCAGTTCCCCGCGCGATTCCTCGCGCTCTCGACGCTTCTTTTCCGCCTCCGCCTCTGGTCTCTGTCCCGCGTCCTTCTTCTCGTCCGCGTCCTTCTCCTCCTTCTCCTGCTCCTCCTTCTCCTCCTCCTCCCGCTCCCTCCTTCTTCTCCTCCTCCCTCCTCCCTGTCCTCCTCATCCTCATCCTCGCCCTCCCTCCCTCCCGCTCCTCCTCCTCCTCCTGCTCCTCCACCTCCACCTCCTGCTCCTTCTCCTCCTTCATTCCTTGCCCTTATAAATAACCTCACCCTGTCGCATCCCGAGGCCAGTTTTTAGAGCGGGCCAGGCATTTCGCCTGAGACTTCCTCACAACTTATGGTTCTGACGCTTAAAAATTGGCAGCAGCTTCACAGATGGAGGACGGGTGGTTTTCAAGATGTGGCTCTCGCCTAAGCGCCGCGCATATTCGTTTTGAGAGATTGCAAGAGTTTCACGGATTGAGGGCGGTTCCTTTTCAAAATGTGGTTTTCGCCTTAGCGCCGCGCGCATTTTTCTCTATAAAATTGTACGAGTTTCACGGGTTCCCACGATCAACGTACCAGAACTGGTGTTTTGGAAGGATTCAGGACTTTGCGGGTGCAGCAGTTACGTTGATTCGCGGTGTTGAGATCCCAACAACGGCTTTCTGGTACGATCCAGGATCGTCAAGACGCAACAGTCAGGTTGACCCGTGGCGTTTGAATCTGGATAACAATGTGTTGGCATGCTTCCGGGTCTTCAAACGGTTGTCTTCCAACGGGGCAGATTCCTCAATGGAAATGAACTGCCGTAGGGGCTTATGAAGAGAGAGCTTGGAGGGAGGGTGTATTCCAACATCGTTGATTGCTCTTGGGTTTACACTGGTCCTCCTCCTCCTCCTCCGTCTCCTCCTGCTCCTCCTGCTCCTCCTTGTCCTGCTCCTCTTGCTGCTCCTCCTCCTCCTCCTCCTCCTCCTCCTCCTCCTCGGTTGTCGTAATGCTGCGAAGGCCAAGACGTGGCTCCTTCGCCCAGCTTCTTCCCAAGCACTTCTTGGAACCCGAAACTCAGCCACTCCTCCTCCCCCCCTTGGCGGGGGGGGGCATCACCAGGAGGAGCAGCAGGGGCGGAGGAGGAAGAGGAGGCGGAGGATGATGATGATGAGGAGGAGGAGGAGGAGCATGAGGAGGAGGAGGGGGAGGAGGAGGAGGAGGAGGAGGAGGAGGAACAGTGCAAGCCCAAGACTCATCCTCCTCCTTCCAGGCTCTCTCTTCAGGTCCCTACAAGGGTTGATTTCTACTGAGAGAAGTGGCCCGTTGGGGGGCAACCGCGTAGAAATCTGGAAGCGCGCCAAAACGCCATGCTCAGGACTTCAACGCTACGAGTCAACCTGACTGTCGCGTCTTGATGATCGTGAATCTTTCCTGAAAACCATTCCTGGGACTTCAACACCGCGAATCAACGTAACTGCTGCACCCAAGAAATCTGGAATCCGCTCCCCAACACAATTTTTGGCACGTTAGCCGTGATAAGAAAGGGCACTCTTTTAATTTTGTAAAACGGATGAGCGCGGCGCTAAGGCGAGAGCCACATTTTGAAAACGAGCCGCTCTCTTTCCATCAGTGAAGCTCTTGCAGCTTTTAAAACGAATATGTGCGGCGCTACGGCGAGAGCTACATGTTGCAAGCGAACTGCCCTCAATCCGTTGCAGCGAGTGTGAGCGGCGCTAAAGTGAGAGCCTCATTTTGAAAGCGATCCGCCCTCAATCCGTGAAGCTCTTGCAAATTTTTGAAACGAATGCGCGCGGCGCTAAAGAGAGAGCCACATGTTGGTTGGAAGCGGCACGCCCTCCATCTGTGAAGCTGTCGCCAACTTTTAAGCTTCAGACTCTTAAGTGGTGAGAAAGTTTTATGCGAAGCGCCCGGCCCGCCCTTCCGGCTGGCCTCGGGGTGAGACAGGGAGGAGTTGTTCATCAGGAAAGGCATGGATGAGGAGGAGGAGAAGGAGGAGGAGGAAGATGAGGAGGACGAGGAGGAGGAGGAGGAGGAGGACGAGGAGGAGGAGGAGGGAGAGGGAGAGAGAGAGAGGGAGAGGGAGAGAGAGAGAGGGAGCAGGAAGACCACGACAACGTGGGGGAGCGGGAGGAGGGGGAGGAGGGGGGTGGAGAAGGAGGAGGAGGAGGAGCAGGAGGAGGAGGAGCATGAGCATGATGAGGAGGAGAGGATGACCTATATCGACGAGCAGGAGGAGGCGGCGACGGGGGACGACAAGCATGGAAATGAGGAGGGGGAGAAGGAGGAGGAGGAGGAGGAGGAGGAGGAGGGGGATGATGATGATCATGATTCTGATGATGATGGTCATGATGATGATGATGATGATGATGATGATGATGATGAGGAGGAGGAGGAGGAGGAGGAGGAGGAGGAGGAGGAGGAGTAGGAGGTGGAGTAGGAGAAGGAAGAGGAGGAGGGGGAGGATGAGAAAGATGACGATGAGAAGGAGGATGACGTGGATGACGAGGATCATCAGGATGACGATGATGATGCTAGTACTGATGCTGCTGATGCTGCTGATGATGCTGCTGGTGGTGGTGCTGCTGCCGCGGAAGATGAAGATGAAGATCATGATGATGATGATGATGATGATGATGAGGATGATGATGATGATGATGATGATGATAATGATGCTGATGATGCTGCTGATGATGATGATGCTGATGCTGATGATGATGATGATGATGATTATGATGGTGATGATGATGATGATGAGGAGGATGAGGATGAGGATGAGGATGAGGATCAGGAATGAGGATGAGGATGAGGATGATGATGATGATGATGATGATGACGATGACGATGACGATGACGATGATGATGCTGATGATGATGATGATGATGATGATGATGATGATGATGATGATGATGATGATAATGATGGTGACGACGACGACGATCATGATGGTGATGTTAATGATGATGATGCTGCTGTTGATGATGATGCTACTGCTGCTGATGCTGCTACTGATGATGCTGATGTTGGATATTATTGCATATGTGGATCCTGATGCTGATGTTACTGATGCTGCTGATGATGTTCATTTTGATGATGATGATGCTGCTGATGATGATGATGATGATGATGATGATGATGATGATGATGATGATGATGGGGAGGAGGAGGAGGAGGAGGAGGAGGAGGAGGAGTTGGAGGAGGAGGAGGAGGAGGAGGAGGAGGAGGAGGAGGAGGAGGGGAAGTAGGCTGAATCAGTCGAGGTCGGCCACGACCAGGAGGAATCGGAGTAGTAGGTGTGGGAAGGACCAGGGCCACCCTGTGAGACTTTGACTGAGGATAACAAGAGGTCCGCCGACAAAAAGTATACCCACGCCTGGCCTGGCCTGCATTGGCACACCCTGACCCGTTGACGCTCCCCCCCTACTCTTTCACAACATGGCAGACAAGGCGTACACCACCCCCATGCCAAGACGGGACCTGCCTAACGGAGGTCCGTCAGCACGTCATCCCCACATTCAGCCAACCAATTTTGCTCCAAAGGCAGCAGACGCTCGAGCATCCAAGATGGGCACCACCAGCTGCTCCTTGCATGCTCCTGACCTCGGCATGTTCTTTTACCAGACCGCCGCGCTCACTGTAATGACAGCAGCAGCAAAAGCTGGGCACCCATCCGAGCTTCCGCCTTCTACGGTGAGGACGTTAGCAGCACTCCCACATCTTCCACTCGCACATGCGACGACGCCTACACCATGGTCTGCACTGGGGTTGCTACATGAATGGCACGTTGTGTGCTCTGCTGGGTGCACACGGCGGCCGTCCACCCACTCAGGCTACGCAAGCACTCCCATTTCGCAGATTGGCACAGTGACGACTCCCACACCAGGGCCCGCACACGGCGGCGATACCAACGGCACGCTGTGCTACGCAGTGGGTCCGTACCAGTGGCTTTCTTACCCACCCGTGCAATGCTAGCCGCACTGGCGAATGCTGCACCCCACCCCTCACCGGCATATGCCACGGCGCCCACACCGTGGCCTTCACCACGGTGACTACGACAGCGGCACGCTGTGCTACCAGATGGGTGCACGGCAGTGGCTTCCTCACGCGCGTATGCTATGCAAACCGCGCGCTAGGGAGAGGGATCTCTGCCAACCTCCATTCCCTTTGGCTCCACCTTCCTTGTGCATGCCCCCCCCCGCTCTTCGCCCCACCGACCTGCACCTGCCCACGTTTTGTGGCGCAGGGACGGAGGGGCTCGCATGTGCGGGAGGCGGGATGGGCAGGAGTCGAGCCGCTGGCCGCCATGACGGGGGCCACGGCGACTGCAGGCAACAAGCGCACAGACTCAACCCATCTTGCGCTGCTGTTTGCGTCGCCACCCGCTGCTCCTCACTTCTACCAGTTGAGCCACCAACCTGTCATAGCCGCCAGTCTTAGCCGCAGCCGCCATCAGCACCGGCGAAGCGACTGATGGCCGAACTGGTTACACAACAGTCGTGCCGCGTTCAGACTGCCTACAGCGCCGCAGCTTGGGCACAGCTTGGTATCGCTCCTGGCGAAGGAGGCGCGCAGTACTTCCCCGCCTCTTCAGCCTACCCTACACACCTCACCGCCTGCGTACAAGTCGCGTCACAATTAACTTGACCAGTTCGGAGAACGAAAACCCGGACTACGAAGGTCTTCATACGCTTGTGACCTTTGATCCCCGTCCCCATCACCCTCCTATTCCCCAGCCTCCCCCTCTTCCCCCTCCTTCTCCGCCTCATCCTCCTCCTCCTCGTCCTTTTCCTCCTCCTCCTCCTCCTCATCCTTCTCCTCCTCCTCCTCCTCCGTAGCCGTGTTGGCTCAAGGCCAAATGACGTTCCACCCACTGCCTTCGCGGGGTATGCTCCCAAGCGTTCCAGCATCCAGACGCTTGCCGCCACAATCACGGGCTAGCGGCCGCCCCTCCATATTCGCTCCCTCGC